GTGTGTGTGTGTGTGTGTGTGTGTAGGAGGACGGGGTGGAGGGGGAGATACGAGGAAGGCTCCTATAGGAGACCCACGGGGCTATTATGACTGGTAGCTGTCACCTCGTTTCAGTGATAAACGGGCCAAACCAAGGTCCCAGCCAGACAATAAACATCATTTGCAACCAACAAACACATAAACACAGCAGGGCCAGTCATTCCCGGCACCGCAGCAGCCTTAACCCCTTCTCTCCGACCACAACGGGATACGCTCGGCACAGTTTGCACAAGCCTACGAGCTGCAAAGCAAAACCTGCATTAGACTCACATGAGATCGGGTCTGTATCGGTGAATGAGGGCGCACAGCGCCAGGCCGCTCTTCCAGGACATGGTGAGGTCCGATACATTGACATTCCTGTATCCCTCCGTTTGTCTCTGGCACCAGTTGAGCAGCTTACTGGATCGAGCTATGGATTCTGGTGCGGGAAAGAGGAAAAAGAACTGATGTTAAAGATGGCGGTCGAGCAGAATGCGGATTAAAACGTGGAGAGGAACACGAGCTGGTTCTGGGCTGCATTACATGTGTCTTGCTGAGCAATCTCATGGCCTTGGTCGGGCAAGGCTGAGCACGGGATCGTAAAGTTCTGTCATCCATGACCTCATAATCCATGTTAGTACCAGTTACAACCAGCAAGTGGAGGAATATTACAAACCGTCCAGATGGAAGGAGGAAAGGATGCAAATGAGAGGTTAGGAAAGGATGCAGAACTCACAGGAAACCTTTAAAACCAGCTGGACTTGAAATGTTTGACACGACCAGCGAGCTACTGAGTTAGTGCAAAGGAAGCTTCTCAGGCTGCGCGATCAGTCCATCATCACACTACTGTGTGTTATTCACTCAGCAGGGAGGCGTCACAACGGTTAAACTATTAGGAATCCCTGTGAAAGCAACACCATGCATTTGGACTTTGTGTTACCTTGCAACTGCTTGTCAAGCAGGCAATTGTCTGGAGTGAAAATAGTGGATCATTACATGTCAGCAACAGTGATTGCAGCAAATCCAGCACTCATCAAATCAGCTCATTGAGAAATGTCTAATAATAAGATCTCCTTTTGTAGATGAAGCAGAAAAGACACAAACCATTCCTGGCCAGCTTGGGCGTCGACGAGTTGATCACGTTCTCGATCTCGATGCGGATCTCCCGGCACTCGCCCGTGTCGCAGAGGTGCCGCATCTGCAACGTCGAGGTGATTATCACACACATGTTGCACTAAGTGAGGCTGGTCCAGTGAAATACTGAAGCACAGAACTAAACACACACTAATTATAATTCTGTTTCTGAAGCTCACACTCACCTGACTGGGCTTGAGGAAGTTAAGGCTGATGTTGGGGTAGCGTGTGGTCGGGTCCACGCTGTACTGACTGAAGTTCTTGCTGACGTTTTCCGGTGTGGTCTGAGGCAGAAGACGGTAAATGCTCTCCCTGAAGCGCAGAGGGAAAAAAACAGAGTTATTATCTTTCCATATACTAAGCAGGCAGCGTCTAACTGAGGGAACGGGAAAGGAACATATAGGAGGATGCTATTTTAATACATTAATGAATCATATTAACATCCAAAGGGCACAGGGAGTTACTACGGAGCTATGAAGTCACATTCCATCCAGGCCTCATGAAAGCCTCTTATCCCATTAGCGCTAACCGAGGTGGGACTGAAGCTTCAAATCATATGCAGGCACGTTTCCTAGAAAAGCACTTACAGATAAAAGGGTGTGTTTGAGGAGAGCGACTGTGTGCGAGCACGAGAACGCAGCGAGTCTCGGTGCGTCACTGTTTCCACGTCCTCACCTCTCAGCCAGCACCTCCAGAGGGCTTTTTCCCTGGGCCCAGCTCTTCACCATCCAGCCCGAGTCCATGGCTGCCAGGAAACCTCGTGCGATGCCAGTGCCCATCGGCCAGAAGGGCTGGAGACGCCGGCGCATTCGTCAACCAAACATGGGCACAGGGGAACAAAAACATAAAAACAACTTAGACACAAGACTTAAAGGAGCCGTGGATCCGGTCCGGTCGTGTTCCTAACATGTGCAGCGGTCACTAAAAACATGAAGCAGCATCTGTAGAGTCAGAACTGTTCTTTATACGCATCAAGGGCTCGATGCAAGATAACGCAGAACAGCTTTTATGTTCAGGTGAACTTTTTTTATTAGGTAACTGTTTTTTTTTTAATTTGTTCATTTTATTCTCCTTTATCTTTATTTATTTTAATTACTACTGCTTCTACTATTATCATTATTCTAGCCTTTATGATTTTATCCTCTTTTTGTGTTTTATTCCGCTTGTTTGTTTGTTTTTTCCCTTTATTGTGATATGGCATTTTTGGTTCCTTTATTATTTTATCTGGTGTTGTTGTATCGATTCATTATGAAAATGTTTAACCATGTTTAATTCTGTTCCTCCACTTTTGCCTCTTAGACTGACCTGCCTCCTGTCATTCAACAGTCTTCCTCTTTTCTTTTTTGCCAAGTCTATAAAGCCATTTGCAAACTCTGCTTTAAAAGGTGCTACATAAGTAAAGTTACTATTATTATAATTAAACTAATGAAAGCACAATTATGAATCTATGTTCCATTTCTATCGACATGCCCCCCTCAGTCCAACACACTGGACATTTAAAAAAAAAAAACTTGAACTTTTAATTTGAAACCCCCCCTCCCCGTGACCCTAATGAGGATTAGACAGTGTATAGATAATAGATGGATCTTGTGCCGCCTCTCTCACCTCCAGCAGGCTGTCGCCCACCAGCGCCACCAGCAGCTTGTGGCCGTTGCGTTGGCGCACCATGGCGGCGTTCTCTGAGGCGTACATGCAGGTGAAGTCGAACATGGCGACGTCGGGCTGGCCGTAGTGGTTGATGGCGAAGTCCAGCGTGGGGAGCTGGTGGTTGGTGGAGAAATCTGCAGCCTCTCGTGCATAAGACAGCAAGGCGGCCTGGTCTACGTTACCTCTGGACAGCAGCAGCTCCGTGTCCGCGTAGTCCTGCAGGACAAACAGAGGAGATGCAATCAGAAAATAAGAAATGTTAAATGCAGAGAAGTCGAGAGAAATTTGTGGTTACAGTCGTTCAAGTGGCTTCTAGCTCAACACGTCAGCAGGCGTCACAGGAAGTTAAAGACGTGTATGTAAGAGTAAAGAGGCACAACAATCCTGACATTTACACATAAACAGAAGAGACGGTGCAGCCAAGACCATTGCTTTCTATATCAGGACACTCAGAGGACTTCTATTGCTCTGATACCATCAGGGAGTTTATAACCATGAAGGGCATTTGAGTTATGATATATTTTTTCAACGCTTCTAAGCTAAGCTGTACAGCTACAGTCATTATGAGGTCGGGCAATACGGAGCAACACTTCTTGTGCATTGGTTTAGTAAAAAATTGTTAAATAAGCAATTAAATTTTTTCAAATTCAATTTATTCTATATGTTGGATTTTAAAAAAATTGCCAAAAATAAACTATCCCTAACGAGATTCTGTTAAAAGCAAAAAATTCTGCACTTCTTGGCGTAACCAGGAAGCCTTTAATGACTCAGCTGCGACCAACAGTCACCTGACAAAAAATCAGCAACTTTTTGTTCGAGCCAGATTAATCTGCAGGCTGTGTTTACATAGAGTAGATAGGATATCAGTATGGTATAACAAAAAAAAAAAGTAAAATGTAAACTATCCATCTGTATGTAGAGTCACCATGTTTTTTGCGTGTATTGGTAAAACCTGCAGGAAAAATGTTGTACATGTTGCTCCCAGGTCAGAAAAAAAAAAAGTAATCCAAAAAAATTACATTTTTGTTTATTGTTTTGTGATGATTTATGTCATTATTATTATTATTATTATTATTATTATTATTATTACATCTGTGTCACGCTGCACCAAAGACATTCTGACTTCTCTCTACTTACAGCCACGGTTGTGCTGTTTCAGTAGAGATGCAGGACTTTATATCGCAATAAAAAATGAGCAAACAGTGAGTGAAAATGTGACGGGAACAAAAAGAAAAAACACCCAGAAAGTAAAGTTCACAGGTTCACAGCAAAGTGACTGAAGCTGGAGTGAACGGCGCTGCTACAAGCCTCTCTAACATGTAGCATCAAATCGCTGCATGCTTTCAGTGACATGTTTTCACAGAGGCCGGCCAGAGGTGCGTTCTTCCACCTTCCAGCCTCCTGGTTGCCCAACGCCAGGCCGGTGGTAACTACGGCGGCTGAGGTGAAGGGCAGGGCGGTGGAAGATATGAACAAGGGCTGTTTTCTGACTTGCAGCTCAGCCTTGAACTGACTGGCCTCCGCTGTGCCCACCCTTCCTCTGTCCCGCTCGAAAAGGCCAAGCCAGAGTCGCTGCTGTAAACGGCTCAGGGTAGGAAACTGAATTAAAGGGAACTTCCACAAGCTTCAGTACCAGTAAATACAAATCCCCCCCCGGCTTCATACCTTCATGTGTATACCTAAACCTCATTAATGTCACCAGCTAACCATGAAAACACACACGGGCCTGCACGTACATGCACAGGGACCGACACAACACGAGGAGTCATTACGTACACGAGGCAGCTTAAAGTGTCTGAAGGCTGAGGACTGTTGCTGCAAAAACACTCATTTCAGACATTTAGGATCTAAAAGCCGCAGCACACCTTCAGCTACGTCTCTGCATGAAGACAGACATGCAATAAGGCCTTTCCGGTTTCCTGTGGAACGCGGCCAGGGAAAGGAAACTACCGAACACAGCGAGGACACAAATACTCAGCGAGCGCTTGAGTTTGTTCCTGGACACTGTTGGCTTGGTTACGCCGTCAGACAAATACTGGGCAGGCAGAGAGGATAAAAGAATGAAAGACAAAAAACAAAACAAGAGACAGACTTGTGATGCTGTTGGTCTGTGCATGCCGGCAGCCTTTATGTGCACTACAGAGACCCAGAATGAGTCTGTAGCGCTCACACCACGCTGAGCGCCGGCCTCTCATCACTCACATGCAGAATGACTCCTTTCTCCAGCAGGCTCTGTTTTTTGGCAGTCATCACAAAGTAATGCGTGTCATCCTTGTAGTAGACGATGTTTTCCAGGTCAATACCTAAAAAAGACAGAAAGATGGATTGTTACACGCGAAGCACAATCGCCCTCCTCACTGCCGCAGCTCGCCGTCTTGTCGTCGTTTGAGGACCAGAGCGGCAATTACGCGACTGAGAGCGCATAAGCAAAGCCGCCGGGACATTGTCACGTCAGCGATAAACTGCTTGGCATCAAACCAAAGCATTTTAATTGGGTGAGCTGACAATATCTGTGATCAAAGGACAAATTATCTGTTCTAGTTACCTCCGTGTTTTGGCAGGAACGAGCTGGAGATCTCACAATTATCAAAAAACCTGAACAACGTGTATATAAAGAGAGCATAAATCCCCTACAGCCGCGGAGCTGTGACGGACCTGTTGCTTCTCTGAGGTCCTGAAAGAACTTCTGATTGAAGATGAAGGCCACGCCGCTGATCTCCTCCACCTTCGCCTCCGCCGTCGTGTTCCTGTTGATGAAGTTAGCCGTGATGGCGATGGCCAGTTTGCCTCGGAACTCCTTGCGTCGAAACCCTGAAGGTACAAGTAGAAAAGAGAAAACAGGCCTTAACGGCAGGAGCTGAACTTTCTCAAAAAGCCAGTAAACACTCAAAACCAGCTCAATTTGCTGACTTACATTTGCTTTTACAACATATCAAACCCTTCAAATGCACATCGTAAACACAACCACATGTTCTGTGTCATGACAAAAAGCTTTCTAGGTTTCCAGGCTGCTGGACGTGGTTCTTGGTTCTTGGTTGTCTGTGACCTCAGGGGGAGCTGCAGCTTCCCTCCACTGATGCAGCAGTCAGCGGTACAGAGCGAGGTCACGGTGCTCTGCTCCACAGGGGTTCCCTTCACCAGTGTGGCCCCAACATTCATAAAGGACACAGACAGCCAATTCAACAATCCCTATTCTGCTCTGCCAGGAGAGCAAACACTGTGTGAAGCTGAACGTAGCAGCCAGACACAAACAAACACACGCACAGATGTGCACAAATGCTCATTCATACACCAGGAACGGAGTGAGGTCAGGGCCCGACCGCAGCTGTACACTAGTGAGATCATAATCGCTCTGACTGACTTCCAAGTCCACTTAGGGAAACAAATAATACTGTTTGTGCTTCGCCTTGTTTAGTTAAGGAACACACTGCACTGCTGGAGCAGCTCTCCCAGTCGGGACATGCTAACTTGCCTGGAAGCGTGTTCCTCCTTCCGTCTGCTCCAATGATGACATCAAACTCCAGCTCGCTGGCAGGGTGTGTCCTGGGGTGGACCTCAGCCCTCCAGCCGATCCCTAAGAGCACACAGCATGTGTAATCAGAGAGAAATGCATCAACAAAGCGCGGCTTAGAGCCTTTGACAGATACGACAAAACATGTTCTCTTTCCATTCAGTGTTCCTCAGACTCGTCTGGCAGCAGCTTCACTCGCTTACTTTCACTCTCTTGGTCTTCGGGGGGCTCGATGAGACCCTTGAACTCTACGTTGACGTGGATCTCGATGCCCAGCAGGAGAGCCACTTTCAGCAGCATTAGCTGCAGCTGACGAATACCTGGGGAAGACATCCGAGATTAAGACCTATAATCCATCTTCAAATATGCTCAGAATGCAGCAAAAGCACTGCGTCCACTCACTGATATGATCGATAGCACCAGCGCAGAACTTCCCGTAGAACTTCTTGGCCCCGAGGCCCCTGAGGTCCTGGATGGTGAAAGGCCAGAGGTGCAGCACGTTGTTCCTGGAGAAGGCATCTCTCTTCTCCAGAAGCACCACTTTGGCCCCCAGGAAGGCCAACTCGATGGCTGTACGCAGGCCGCATGGCCCCGCACCGATGATCAGACACTGAATACGCAGAGAGGAGAAAGTCAGCCAAGCACATGGAAAGTCAAATTACTGCCACTCTTCTCTCTGTAGACGACAAACCCACATATTCACACTGAAGCCCCAGGTTAGCACATCCCACTGTCTGAAAACCAGCCTGTGATGCAGCAACACGCCTTCATGCTGCGTTCATGTCATATCATTTAAAACATAATTATGAGCAGCCATGTGTGAAAACAACTTGTGCAGCAACTGCATCTGAGATGTCAAACATTTCTGACAGCAATGACGTGTCCCCCCGACATCAACAAACTGTGGCTGCAAAATATAACGTCAACACAAACACATTCATCTGCATAGCAACAGAGCCAAACATCAGCTGGTCTGACCAACCAGAAGAAGATGAAGTCCGATACCGCCTGTCACCACCATAAACCCAGATAAGCTGCATTAAAACAAATTAACCAACAACTCAATTCATCCAAAGGACATTTCATTTGTTGGTGATCGCGAGTGAACCTGACTTGTAAATCAAAGTTCATTTCTGCCGACGTCATTCATTTTATCAGCTGACATTATCTTGTCAACAGTTTATTGGACCCAGCCCTTATTTTAGGGTCAATTACATGAATACACTGGAGCTCCCAGGAGGCAGCAGATTAAATGTTTGAGTCTGAGTCAGAGCCGCCGAGCGTCCTTTGGTCCACTCGGTAAACATGAGCATCAAATTACATGATTCCTCGATACTGAGGATCACGTTTTTCAGTCTGTTTGCTCCCACTTGGAACTGGAACCTCCGCCAAGTCACCTGATGCAGCTTTGGGTGAATCATCGGGTTTCCACCGATGCAGGCTCACCTTTGAGTTGGCACAGGCACGGCCCTTCTTGTACTCCTTGTGGCTGGCTCTCTTGTCGAGCTTGGCCCACAGCGCCTTGGCCTTCCAGTAGTTGAGTTTGGACTTGAGCTTGTGGTAGAAGACCCTGTACTCAGTGGGCTTGACCTCCAGGTGGTCACAGAGATCCTGGAAGGCCTTGAGCGTGCCCTTACATGTGGTCGCCTGGACGAATTTGTCGAACAGGACGTGGGACAGGTTCACCCCGTCTCCTCCGGCTGCACCGGCGCCTCCATCCCCCATGGTCCAGGCTCACGTAGGGCTGTGAGGGCCCTTCACCCTGCCCCTGGCAGGGGTCTCTGGGTCCAGCCCCAACCCTGGAACAGCCTCTCTCTGGTGGAGGGCTCTAACTCCCAGCCTCAGGCATCTTCATTCTGTAGCAGAGATGGAATGAGAGGAAACAGAGGGAATCAGTTTAGCTCCGTATAAAACATCTCCACATGTAGCGCTCACGTAGAAGATCATAGCTCCTGAATGTTTGGACGATACCTACACTGTGAGAAAACATGAAGAGAAACTTCAATTAGAAACTTCATGACAGTGCAAAGAATCAAGCTAAGGATGCCGATGACGTCCTTCTTCTTTTATCGAAACAGGCTTGAAAGCTCTCTAACTAAACATCTAAATGTACGACAGTTGGTCAGCAAGTCATGAGAGCAGCGACTGAGGACAGAGACGAGGCGATTCAGGGTGTCGCTGTCATTCCTCTGCTGTGACACGACCTCAAACAACCTCCTATCTGTCTAGGAATGGAGCTGCTGGACACAGGAAGGCCACTGAACCCACAGAGAGCCAAACAGGAAACACACAGGGCACAGAATCCCTCCAGACAGACTCCAGACATCCCAAAACACTGTAAAACACACAATCCTGCTCATTCAAGACACCGATCTGGCACCAGTAGGAGTCTCTGAATAAGCCAGTTTGATCCACTCTACATAGTCCTTCCTCTGTTGGTTTACATGCTATGACATGCAGCGGTGAATCCTTGTGTTCTGCGCTCTGTAGCCCCCACGGGGACGAGATCATTAACGTTCTTGTAACTCTGCTGTTCTGACTGGATGTCTCCGTGGGTCCACAGTCTGACTTCAGTCTGCTTTACCCAACATATAAAAGAGAGATAATGGAGAAGAAGAGATGAAAGAAATCACACAAAGCGTTTCAACAAAAGTGGTGCTGATGACTGCACACTAAAGGCTCGGTGATTCTGATCCGTTTGCTGCTTAATGCAGGATCTCTGCTTTGCATCAGATCTCAGAGGCGACGACGCAGAAACTCGTCTCAGTTGTTCACGATGGTTCAGCAAAAGCAAGTATCTTTAATTTATAGATAGATAGATAGATGAAGAATTAGAAGCCATTCAGACATATATTATCACCTGGGAAAGAAAGAAAAGCTTAAACAAAAAAAGTTCAGTATTTTGAAAAAAGGTTCGAGCGATGAAATGTCGTTTCTGTGAGGAAAATGCCAACTAAGAACAAAGCTCTGAAGCTAATTAACAAATTTCAATTTCTGTGCCAACTAAACAAACACGATATATTGTGTTAAACTGTTAAATATACAGTCATGACTCAATAATCGACCCTTAACAATCCTAAACCTGCTATCCGACAGGTTTTAACCCATAAAAACAGCCTTAACATAGCGACAGCCTTGGATTCTGACTCCGACATGACATTTAATGTCACCAATCAGGATGACGGCGTATTATCTGACTGAACAATCCCACAGATTGGCTACGTTCACACTGCAGGACTTGATGCTCAATGAGGATTTCTTTGTGACTTCCTTCACGTTTCCAGTTCAATGCGACTTGTATGTGATCTGCTGTGTGAACTTCATACGAGCCAAAAGTGTCCCGCATGCGCAGAAGAGGACACGACGACGTCACACGCAGCGAGCGTGCTCAGTGTTTATGGAAGTAAACATGGATGGTAACGGTGGAGCGTATCTGCCACTCCCCCGCCGCCACCGATGGAGGAAACAGAAGTGTGAGCGCTAACTAAACTAGCATCAGCAGCCAAGTACTGCCTGTGTGTTCTGGACACTTCCACCCCGTCAGAGCGCTGCCCCGGGGTGGAAGTGTCCCCGGACCGGGACGAATGTTCTGATATTCATCATTAACTGGGCCTGAATATCCAGAGAGCAGAAAGTTCTATTGGGACCAGCCCTACTAGTTATTATAAGAACTATGAACAATAATGAACAACTAATGAGCCTTCCAGCATCAAGCCCTCCTCGTATCTGGACCTCCGTCTTGACAATCCGACAGCCTTGATATCCGACATAGAAGATGGTTTTACGTTTAGTGTCGGATTATTGAGTCACGACTGTACAGTTGGTTTCAGGAGTGCTGGTAGAAACGCCATGATAACGGTCTGCTAGATATGAACTTAAAGCACTTTTCCATGCATTGATTAAACCTCTAAAAACTCATCGTTGTGAATCAAAAAACATCTAGTTGAGTTCAGCCCTCCACCGCTGGCTGCAGCCTGAGCACACCAGCTCACCTACAACTCTGCTCACACGCTGTCATAGTGTCGGACATTATATATCGGTAAGTTGTAATAATGAAGCAATTCACCCATAAATGCTCAAACTGGAAGCTGATTATGAAGGAGAATAATTCATCTGTTTAAAAAGTCAGTCAGTGCTGCTGCAACCTGCTAGCAAAAAAGTAAAACTTACTAAATCATTAAATGTAAGTAAGATTCCCTCAAATAAATAAAAAATAATAAAATAAAAATCAATACAGGCGCAACATCTAGAAAACCAACTGTGCATAAACTGTTTTCATATTAGCAGGTTTCATCACACTTGGATTATGCAACGCAAATATTATGTGGAGTAAAAAACACAGAATAATATTGATTAAAGCAACAACAGAGCACCGCTGCATATCTCTAAAAACACATATTGGACTTGGTATCGCTTCGGCCCGGTCTGAGATGTTAGATAGAGGCTGTTAAGTGCCACAGACAGTCGGATCTGCACAGCAGTCGCTCTGTTGCTTGCACCGCAACATACTTCTGCCAGATCCACCTGTTTCATGAAACATCCTCCAGGATATGGACATGTCAGCAGAAACTTGGGTTTCTTTGGAGAGGATGCAGATTCCACCTCATTAAAAACCTCATTTGTGAGATGTGTGTTCACTTCATTTTGAGTTTAGATATCACCATAAGATCCAAACAGAATGGACTGTCAGGCTAAACATCCATATCTGAATGCTTGGTGCAGATGAAGGCGTGACTCATTAACTACAATCCAGAGCAACAAACATAAACCCAGTCTTTACTCTGGCTCGCTGCTCTATAGAAGCCGGAGCCTGGTACTGTCCAGCATGTCGAGCTAGTTCATGAAAGCCAATGCAGTCCCAGTCCCAGCGGCAGCGCATGATGAAAGGAAGGCAGGTACAGAGGTCAGCTGGCCTCCTTTTCACACCCTGCCAACTCTGCAGTGCAGCGAAAACAGCCGGCCCTGAGCTTGGCTCTGCCTCAGCGTGTCCGGATCGGGACCGAAGGGGGCAGCGCCAGCTCAGACAGAACACAGCCCTTTACCAAAGCAGCCATTCAGGAAGCCGGACGCGTCATTTCTAATGTGAGTGAACACGCAGGACTCGACTTTAACCTTCAAACTGTTTCCAGACAGAAGCAGGTGGTGGAAGTCTGTGGTTTGGTGTGTGCAGTGACAGATGGTGAAACACTGACCAGCTCTAGTCAGAGATCAAACATCAGCATTGATCACACAATAAAAATCAAACGCTGTGATTGACTGAGCGTCGAGGCCAACATTAGGCACAGATGACTCAATCGATGGTCCTTAATTTTCTGATCAATAGTAGTGATCAGCTGATGATAGCACACAGGCGTATTCATGAAGCTTCTTCAGTGTTTTCTTGTGATGAAGACCAACACTGAGGCCGGCCTGTCAGTCACAGCTGTCATTCCTGTGGTGTGTGCAGCAATAGGACTGCATCAGGCGCAGGTTCGTCTGAGATGACACCGTTTGGCAGAAACGTGACAGGATGGCGTCGGATGAGCGTCTACCACATAGCAGGAACCAGTCTGCAGCTCTCAACAGCTCATGAACTAATGATCTTATCAAGACAGGACCATCTTAAAACTAACAAGCCTGAAATCTCCACCCTAAATTCTTACACTCTCGAACTGTGACCCGAGCAGAAAGATCCCAGTTCATCAGCGGCGAAACGGTTTTACGAGGCGGAGCGGAAGAAGGCGGGCGACTTTCAACTTCTTGTGGAAGCGTAGTTAAAGAAAAACACGTTGCCTTCAAAATAAAAGGCAGAGGAACTACGGAGCTCAGGAATGAGAAGATGCTACGACCTCTGTGACGCACTCCTGAGAAAGCTCACAGTAAACTTCTAACACACTCTGAAGGAAGCTGATGGGCGCGTCACGGTGTGTGTGGTCAGATGATGCTGGGGCTCAGGCAGCCTCGTGACAACAACAACGCTGGCCTGTAATGTGGAGGATAGTAGCCTCCTGCAGAGCCCCATATGCATACACCATGTGTTTCTGTTGGGCAGAGAACAGCCACGAAAGGAACGCAGACCGATGGAAAAACCAACGTAAAGCGACTTAGTGTTGGCCCAGAACAGCTTCAGTACACTTTGGCACTGAGTGTGTGAGACTTGACTGGAGGGATGGAACGCCATTACAGAAAGATATTCCCAAATTTGGTGTTCTGACTGTCTGACAGGCTGCTCCTGAATCTCTCACTGAGATCGTCTTCATACCCATCATACCTTTCATTCCCTGGTGCCCTGAGAGCAGGAGGGCACCAGCATCTGACTCAGGACACAAATGCTTCACGGCAGAGAGAGCGAGCTAATCATGTGTATTGATCTGCAGCCAGCCTTCCCTCTGAGGGGAGAAGCTGATCCGGATCACGTCAGCAAAAGCCAACGGATCCCGTCACTGTAGGATCCAGCTTTCTTCTGATCCGTCACCCGTCACACACACGTGAGTGTCATAGCGACTAAATAAAAGGAGTATTTAATAAAGTTCTATCATGTAAAACTCTGACTATTTTCAGGGGATTGAAAAAAAACAACTTTCTAGCAACATCTGGATGAGCTGCAGGATTTCACACATTCATAGAATCTCTCTCACACACACACACACACACACACACACACACACACACACACACACACATCACACGCTGATCTAAAAATAGACGCAGAGATTAGGCCACTGGGCTACGAGTTTGACTGCTTTTATGCAAACACGGCGGCTTTTAGGAGTAAATACGAGGCTTTAAAAGCTGATGTTTACCAGCTCGAGATAAACAACAGCACTGTGCCAGAACACTAAGCTCAATCACTGGTGTTGTTTTGTTTGCTTCTTGAAGTGTTTTCGTGTTGTGTTGGGGTTTCCTTTTGTTCCTCTAATTGGTTACAGTGCAAAAACCCATCTGAGATCCTCAGAGGTTCCTCAGAGGTTCCTCCAGGATGTTCTCCAGCAGCAGCAGGGCAGCAGGCTGTCCGGGAGCCATGGCAACGCAAACACATGACATCTGACTGCAGGTTTTAATTTACAACCTATTTATTAAATGCCAGTTTAAAATGACTTTTTAAAGGCTGAATGTAAAAATACCATAAATAAATAAAATGAAAAATTAAATAATAAAAAAACAATAATTAAGAATGTCTTGATGGGGCAGTAGAACCAGGCTCAGAACAATGAATTTTTCTGGGTTTTTTTTAATTTATTTTTTTTATACAGAAGAGCTCTGAGGCTCTGTTGGAGGGAAACTCTCAGAGAGGCTCAGCAGCATCCAGGCTGCAGCTGATCCCCTGCTTCTGGTAAACCAGCGTTTGTACATCAGCAGCAGGTAGAACATCATACAGGTAGAACATCATACAGGTAGAACATCATACAGGTAGAACATCATACAGGTAGAACATCATACAGGTAGAACATCATACAGGTAGGTTTCACATTGATCCAGAAACACAGACACATGTAGAGATACGTTTGCTTTTGTTTATTTGATGTCTCTTTTATTTTAATTTCTAATGACATCAAAATATTTGGGGACATTTTTTTGTGTTTATTTGATGTCTTGTCCCTTTTCTTTTCTTTTCTTTTCTTTTCTTTTTTAATGACATCAAAGTATTTGGTGACAATTTAGAATTTCCAATTAGCCTGAAGTTTGTGTTTTTGGC